TACATCTCCGACTATGATTGCCACTATTGTCCCTGGTTTGAACTTGTTTGGTGGTGATTTTTTAGCTCCGGTGTCCGGTGTCTTCGGGATGGCCGCTATTGCAAGTGGGGAAGTTGGTGAAGGACTTGGACAATCACGCTTCGTTACTTTTCCACACAGAAGCGGATTCCCGGAAAAAGACTCGGATTCACTGCTCTTGAAAACAACGGAATCCGGGATTTCTCCCGTGAGATTATTGAAAGAAAGATCAACGGTGGCTTTACCAGGAATTTTCTCGGTGAATTCCGGCGGGATTTCTCCGGAAAGTCTGTTGTAAGTGACGTTGAAGTACTTGAGATTGTTGCCCCCGAATTTACGAGGCAAAGAGCCTTGGATGAGATTGGAAGAGAGATCTAAAACCTGAACTGATTGAAACCCAGTTGGAAGATTGCCTGAAAAATAACTGTTCTTCAAAGAAACAACGGTTAAATTCAGTATAGTAGTGAGACTTGCAGGCAAAGTACCCGTCAATAAATTGTCGGAGAGGTTAAGAACTTGCAGGTTTAGCAAAGTTCCGATCGTTTCCGGTATTCCTCCAGCTATCAAATTATTCGACAAGTCAAGAAAACGAAGCTTGGTCGAATTGAAGAACGAAACAGGAAGAGACCCATTTAGTGAATTTTTGGAAAGATCAAGACTACGAAGGTGCTCAAGCATGCCCAAATCGGATGAAATCGAACCAAGAAGCTGACATGTCGGAAGATACAAGCCCGTAACTCGAAGGTATCCATCAATGTAGTCACAGGCTACTCCGTTCCAAGCACAAGGCGTCTGGTTAAAATAATTCCAGCTTTGTAGAACGTTTAAAGGATCACTGAGAATCAAGTACCTGAAAGAAAGGAAGAGAACCCCATCTGTGTTCGGCCCCAGAGACTGAACCATGAGAAACTCAAGAACAAAGAGAACTCTCCGCCATGAATGGAGTTTAAAACTGAGGAAGGAGTTCATGGTTTCTCGTACCGAGTTACTGACCACACATTTCTTGTATGAAGAGAGAAAGGGAAGAGAGACAAACAGAGATGGTAACTAAGAGAAATAACTGAGAGTTTCATTTATGTCCATGAAGTTGCAGAGAGACCATGTGATGAAACAAAAAAGCCAAGAAAATACACAGCTCCATAACACAAACTTGACTCATATCGCCAAATATGTTCTGGATTGGCTGCTCTCTGTGTGAATATTTAAGGTTTGATAAAAAATATGATTATTGATTAATGATATCACGGTTAGTGTTATGAGTAATAAATAAATAAACAAATACAATCAAGTACCAGCTACATGCTACTCGATCATCATCGTCATAATAATAATAGAATGGCATCTTTGCTACAAGACATCAATGTAAGATCATAACAATAGAAATTGCCTGCTACGGTCCAATATTCCTTGAATAAGCTTAAGGTGGGATTTCTTTTTCCACTCACTAAAATGGGTCCATTTTTTTATTGGTTACAAAGACAAGGGAATGAGCACATATTCCTTAAATCTCGATTGGTCTACGTCATATGGTTCAATAATTTTCATGTTTTGTCAAATTTAGATGATTGTGTCTGAGACATATACTGTGTGCGTTTCCATTGAACCTCGTCTATTGCTCGGGAAAATTAAACAGAATTTGGGAATGGAAAATGAATCAAAAACTTTGATGGCCAACATTATATTGTGTAGGGCTCCCTCTAAAATATCGGTATCCTCCAGAGCGTCATTAAATCTTCATTCATTTCTCCATCCTTCCCAAAAATTTGACCCTCTGGTGAGCCCTTTGCATGGTGAAATCATTACGTTTACATCTATATACGTGAAATATGAATATCCCCGAATAAATTGATTTGACCAGGGCCCCAGTAATCAACTACCAGTGCTAAAATAAATGGCCCATGTTATATATTTTTTTCCAGGTGGATGAAAATTAACTTTTGGAAAGGTAAATCTGGATTCACTAGAGCCTTGCATCAAGGATTTGGACAGCTTGGCAATTAACATCATCCATCAGTTAAAAAGATGGGGAAAGGTACAGAATTTACATTTTGCACATCATGTCTCCTACACTATCACTTTCCACCTTTTCGCTTTCGGATGAAATTTCCGGAATCGTTCTCTTGAATGGAATACTGAACAAACTAGGAAAACAGTGGAATTAGGTGAAAACAAACAAGTGTGACCTTTAGGTTAAAATAATACCCTGAAAAATCTACATTCCCAAAGCTATATTTCCGAATAATATATCAAACAAATAAATATATTGCACCTGTGTATCAATTATAAATTCTAAGCATCTATCAAATTCAAGATACGATGGTGCAAACAATTCACCCCAAAGGTTAATTTAAAAAAAAATCAAAGAGTGGCAGTTTTTTAGTATGATTTGAAAGGGTAAGTATTAGTAATTTTGTTCTGATGCGATGCCAGAATATAACAAACCAAGAAGTTATTGCCGTTGTCCCTACATTAAAAGCTTTCCGATGAGAAAACTGCTATCTATGAGTTGAAACAACTCGGGAAAAACAGACAAATAGCATTGCTTGATTAAAAATATGAACAGTTTTGCTTGTGTAAGTGCGAGTCATGCCAACTCCTGCCTTTCTCTTCTTTTTTACTGAATCCTCACAGTTTCATTGGAATTTGGAAACTACCATAGAAAGGAAACAAAAATCGTTTTGACAGCCAAACGTGTATCCAGAAGGTTGAAGAACATTATTGAAGGAGTTGTACATATTTTCAAACGCAAGGTTTGGCCAAAAATTACTTGCACACCTTAATTAATGCGTGCAACAAATAATTGAGCTCTTTTCCCTTTCTATTGATATTCGATAGACAATGGCTGGGTTGATTTGGCTTTGGTGGGACAATGGGAAAATGGGGTGTGTGTGTTTTACTACTGAAACAAGAAAAAGGGTAGGGTAATGGAATGAAGAAAGTAAAATCCAATCTGTAATCCCACATGCTTACCCACTTGTTCTTGATCACTCTGTTAGGGTCAGTGTCTCGTAGACCCAACTTTTTACAGGCAGCTTGTCAACGGGGTGGTTGGGATCGCCAGCATTTCCTTTTCTTCTTTTAGGGGTATTGGGGTCAGTCCCTCGTTGGGATAAGGGAACATTATTTAAGAATTTCTAAGTTTTATGCAGTTAGATTTCGTAATAATTCATAATATGATTTGTTTACTTGTAAGGTACAGGTATAGCGCTCCAAAATAAGCAGGGATCGGGATATATAAGTGGATGCGCTGCATGCTCTGTTTTTATGTTTTATATGAACAGAACAATAGATTCGTGACAAATTAATATCAGAATCGATCTTTAACTATTTACTCCGAGTGAAATAGATAGAATGAATAGATTCGGTTACTGGTCCCAGCCTCCCACCAAGCTTTATCTTGTGGGGCTGCCCATAACCATGAAAACAAATAGGTGGTCGAATGTTGCTGCTTAAACTACGGAAGGACAGGGTATGGGTTCCATCAAAATGGGTTAGTCTCGCTATGGCCCAACTCAAAAGTTGATGCTTTCAATTGCCCAATGACTTCATACTTCTTCCTCAAAACTTGAATAAATTTTTACATGACCTTATTCACCATCTCATCTATAATCCCGATTGGGGTTAGATGAATATACATTACATTTATTTTTTATATCATATTTTCTTATGAAATAAAAATTTTCAAATCATTAACTTTTTCTTCGCTACCTCATCCTCTTCTCCCATCATCAAACATTAAATCTTCATAGTTTATTCTACTTCTCGCTACATATATCTGTAAAAATATAATCCATGTTGATGCTATCATTGAATCCCTTCCAAGAATTTAACTAATCCATCCTTTTAAAATGCAAAGATTCCATTAAACACTTATACATCACGTTAAAGATTTTTCGGTTGAAGCTGGAAAAAGTTCACCGGACTAGAGCGGGATGAAAGAGGTATTGGGATTTAAATCACAATCACTGCACTGCCATTTTCAAAGCAAGTGAGTAGCATTGGATGCTAACCCTAAAATAGCATAAACATAATTTGTGAAGGTTGATATATTATCTCCTGATATTAATATTTTTGGAGAGCATATTGTAGGATATAATAAGAATTCAAAAAGTATATTGATCTTACAATGATACATTTAAAATTTTATGGGTCACCAAAGAATCAAAGAAATTGTAGAAATTTATAATTTTTTATAATTATGTAGGGAGAAGTAGAGCATATATTTTTTCTCGTTTTCTATTAATTATGTTGTAATTTTAGTTTTATTTTTCTAATAATTCTAATAGTTCATCAGAAGGGACGTCGACACAGATTATCCGAATGTAGAAAATAAATGTGATTTGTAGTTTTTTAATCAGTTAAAGATCATAAATGAGACGAACAAACAGGGACTGAGCTATATAGAGCGGGGGTTCTTGCTTCTCCCAAAACTTTTGATTTAATAGTATTTTAAGTCTTTATTAATTTAAATTTAAGTAAAATTAGACTTTTGATTGATCTTCAAATTTTTAAATTAAATACAAAATAAATTCTTATTATTTTGAACTTAATATATTGTCCCTTTTAATATTTGATTTTGACTCCAAGGTTTGTAAAATAACTTATCCAAAATTTAATTTTCAATGTTGAGACCCCTATGTTTCTTCTCAATGCAGCCGAGTTTAATTCCATCAATTGCTGATCCTCATGGTTTGTGGCATCACTGCATGCATAGCCTTCATTGCAACTGGTCGCAGATTAAGTTTGTTCAGAAATGAAGGCAGCTCCGCTACGTGCAGAGATTTAATTCTCATTTTTTTCCATCTTCTTTTTGAGCAGTAAATAAAAAAAATTGTGTATTTATAAACACGGAGAGACTGGGATAGACGAATAGACGATCCCTTGTTAGAGGTCCCAAAAAGTTTTTTTTTTTAAAAAAAGCTTAAACGACGGAGAGAAGATATTAAGAGGGTGAGAGCAGTTCAAATTTAACGCGTGTCAGTTATCCAGCTGTATCCAAAACAACATTTCCGCTAACCGCCTAAATGGACCACTCGGTAGCCACAGCGCTCTGCTTGTCTTTACAAGTCCAACCGACTACTTCATCTCCTCTCTTATATATCTCCGCCATCGTCTCGCTCCCCCTGCCTCCCCTTAATTAAACCCTCGATAATCATCGAATTTTCCTTTTGCATTGCTTTTAATCTTGATTTCTATGAATGTAACCGGCGTATCAAACGGAAAAGAAATGGATCGGATCAAAGGCCCGTGGAGCCCCAACGAAGATAACTTGCTCCAAGAACTGGTCCAAAAGCACGGACCCAGAAACTGGTCTTTGATGGGCAAATCAATCCCGGGTCGATCCGGAAAATCCTGTCGTCTCCGATGGTGCAACCAACTGTCCCCCCAAGTTCAGCACCGGGCCTTCACCGCCGAAGAAGACGAGGTCATCATTCGTGCGCATGCCAGGTTCGGTAACAAGTGGGCAACCATAGCTCGACTCCTCGACGGCCGTACCGACAACGCCATTAGAAACCACTGGAACACGACGCTGAAACGTAAGTGCCTGTCGGTTGGGGAAGAGACTAAATATATATATAAAGATGGGTATGATGGTAATTTGGAAGGGGAAGAGGGACAGCCGTTGAAAAGAGCGGTGAGTGCTGGGCAGTATAGGAGCCCGGGAAGCCCTTCCGGATCCGGTGTGAGCGATTCCAGTGTTCCCGATTTATCATCTTCGCCATCGTACAAGCCCATCCAAAGGACGACCGTAGGGGTTAAGATTGACTTTGACGTGAACGCTATACCAGCCGGGTTCGAAGCGGCGGCGTCTTGCAACGATCCACCGACCTCGCTGAGTCTCTCATTAAGGGGGGCCGAGTCAAGCGAGGTGTCAACACACCCAGTCACAGAGTCAACTCAGAAGATAAACGAATGGAAAGATGAAGAAAGGGAAGGTGAGGTGAGGAGATTCAGAACGGAATTTATGGCGGTGGTTCAAGAGATGATAAGGGTGGAGGTGAGGAATTGCATGGCGCAGGTGCAACAGCAAAACGGTGCAGTTTCAGGCGGAGGGACGGGATGTGTATGAGTGGCGGATTTAGGAAGGTGGCTTTCAACCGAGTTGGTCTGAGTCTGACTCAGATCGAGAAAATTTCTTCAGGAAAGTGGTAGGATGTAAAAAAAAACGAAAGCTTCCTTAAATATCACTCGAGTCTCTCTCTCAAGAGTAATAAAAATTTAGATAATTTTCTCCATGTATGGAAATATTTCGATTCAGACTATTCATTTCAAAGCGGTTGATAATGGTGGTTGGAGGGTGAAGTGTCACCCAAAACATCTTCCATCATCCAAATCCATGTATATTATATGTAGACACATTTTTTCGTCCGATAATTTTTGTTATTATATTATAATTTTATTTTATTTTGGTTTTGTTATGTTATTTTATTTTATGTTATTTTGTTGATAATTATATAGTAATGTAGCATGACAAATAGATAATAAAATATGGTAAGGTGTCAGTTTTGAACTTTTTAAATATATATATTATATTATTATTAAGTTTAGTGTTACTTATTTTTTTTACATATTATATGATTGTACGCCTAACAGAATATTGATCCAACGGTCTGGATTTGCACGCATAAGATGCACGCCTGAAAAACTGCATGGATGTACCTGCAATAAACGGGAAAAAAAGTTCTCTCATCCACGCATGGTTACATGGAAGTTATCAGGAGTTAACCAAAAAAATCGCGAGCCTCGTTATCATGCACAGAACCGAAAAAACGAGGGGAAACCATTCGGAAAGGGGAGTGATAAAAACCGAATAAAATAGTTTGTTAGGGGGACACTCATGATGGAAAAACCAGGGAAGAAAAATAACGTAAAAAACAAGGTTTCTTCTCTCTCAATTCCTTCCAAGTTCACTGTCAACTTCGTCATTCCTTATGCTTCTGAGTTGGCCATGAAAGAGGAATACATTGATCATTCATCCACTTTGTTCAAGTTTTGTGTTCTAGTTTAAAATGTATACCTACTGCCCCTGCAAACTCCGAAGGTCGGGATATGTGCCTTGATCTTGGGCTAATAAACAAGGCTGTTGAGTGGCTTTTAATAAAGTTGGGTCTCACCCATTTTTGGCTTTGATGTTGTTCTTCAAGAAGGTTCTGGTGATCATGTCGTTGTGGATGTAAACTACCTGCCATCATTCAAAGAAGTTCCCGACGATGTGGATGTTCATGCATTTTGGGATGCTATTAAAAATAAGGCGGATTCGAAAGCGGTGAAACCATGAAGTACTCCTCTTCCCGTGGAGTCTCACGAAAAAATGCAAAGCGGGTTCAGGTCCTTTCAAAACAAAAATAAAGCTAGTTTCTATCCTGTCAGAACAAAAGCAATGTGAGTTCAGATTTTAACTTTGTTGAAAATAAGAAGTACATGGTTTAGTTATCGAGTCAATCTATGTTGTAGGGTTTGGAAATAATATAACATGAAAGTTTTGAACTAAGGATGCACTGTTTCTATCGTAACCTGAGTTTAGAAAGTTTTCTTAGTTTAGTAACCTTTTTTAATTGATATATGAACTCAAATTGATATATGTGTTTAGGTATGGTGTTATTTATGTTCCACTTTTGTCGGTTTCGGTGTGGGTTTGGCAAGGAGATGATGGGTTGTTCCATGAAACATTATTATAATGCTTAAGTTTAACCATTTTAAAATATTGAGAATCCATTAGCATGTTTATAAGATATATATGTATATTTATATTAGTATTAACATGTTCATGTATTCTTTTAAATGTTTTTTTAGGTTCAAACATTTATTCGAATATATGATTTTATTTTTTAATTAATTTTTGGCATGACATCCTTTTTGCACTATTCGCATAGTAACCTCATTTGCATAACTCGACATAATACATAATTGGATTAAGGGTAATACACTTTTAATTTAAAATTGTTTTAAGTGGGTTGTCATACGCATTTGAGGTCCACTTTTAATAATTTTAAAATAAAAGTGTATCCTGAAAGTGAAACCTAAAAAATCGATTCTTCACTTAAAATTTGGGAACGAAAGAAAAGGAAGTATTAGTTTATTTAAATTTATCGAGAAAAGATTGTTATAGCTTTTAAGATCTGGTCTCGATATTTGTAAATAATCGAACACTCTTTATCTTTCTAAAACGACTCGGTAATGTTAATTTAATTTATTTGAATGCTTTTGAATGTTTTTAAATTTACATCTTTGTTTTATGGGATCAAAAATCAAATTAAGTTTACATTTGTAAAGTTCAATGCAAAGACATTAATTAATCGACTAGGTACCGTTTTAGGGCGTTGTGGGGGTGCTAATCCTTCCCCGCACGTAATCGACTCCCGAACTCAGATTTTGATAACGCAGACCTTAATTTATTGTTTTAATTAAAACTAATTTTTATTTAAAATAACAAACATTTTCGGATGTCCAATCATACCCTAATCAAAGATTGGTGGCGACTCTTTAAACCGTATTTTTTTTATCGTAAAGGAAATCCAAAAATTTTCGAAACGAGAGGTCTTTTAAACTGCATTTGTTTTTAAATTAAAAAATCAATTAAAAGAGATAAATTAAAAATTAATGTGGTTTTCAAAATCTCACTTTTAAGAAAAAAATCGTTTCGACAGCTTGGCGACTCTGCTGGGGAATTTTTTTAGAGAGTCAGGTAGATAGTTGATTAATTAATTGTCTTTGCAATTGAAAATTATAAATTTGGTTTAATTTGGTTTTTGATCCCTTGTTTGTTTTTTAATAGTTTTGTTTGTATTTTGATTTTTTTAATTTAATTCGATTAACAATTAAATAGTTGTACTGATCTGTTTGCTAAAGATTTCAGAATAACTGTGTGTTTTAGGAATTGATTTTGAATGTTTTTATTGTTTGTTTTTTTTCGCTTTTCCTCACACACTGCACAGCTGCATATCATGACATGAGCTAAAACCCCACTCTGTCCTATTTAAGTAGGAGTGAGAGACTATGCCCTCGTTTGGTTTTCACCTCCTCATGGGATAGTGGATCGCTCCTGGAGCTCACGCCTTGTGGTCCTCGTGATGATATTCACCTCCGCATGGACATAAGGAGGTATGTTCCCTCGAATTTGAACTCGATCCCCTAAAGCCTGTGATGGGCTAGGATTGAGGGTTCAGCAGCCCAAGGGGACATCGGCAAGGACAATTCGAGAACCTATTACTATAGAACCGAACCCAGCATATAGTGAACATAGAGCCTGAATTTAGGTTGAGCCTAACCCGAACCTTAAGAATCCCGTGAGGAGGGTACACAAGGAAAAGCTTTTTTGAGTCGTTTATTTTCGTTTTTTCGAATAAATGCATGCGAACTAGATATCATGCGGTTAGGTTTATTTTTCAAACAAGCATACGAATTAGATATCATGCGGTTAGGATTTCTTTTTGTGAATAACAAAGCATGGGGGTAGATATCATGTTGGGTAGGATCTGATAAAGCATGATTGGGTAGCTATCATGTGTGGGTAGGATTCTTGAACAAATTATTATCCCTACTTAATTGCTTTATGTTTACTAACCGATCTTTTGTTGTTTTTACTTTATTTCTTTTCTATTTTGCATTGCAATGTCCATTACATGGTGTTGATTTGGGATCGATGTCTATATAAAAGGCCAGTAATATGGAACGAATGGTTCAGAGAGAGGTTGAGGATAATGCAGATGTTTTGAGGTGGTCGGAACAGTCCCAACTGACCAACGGGGACAGTGTGATGCATGGATACGTGTCAGAGTTATTTGGTTACACTCACGTCAACGTACGTCAGAATGATCTGAGTGAGCTAAAAGAGGTATGGGGAAGATGAGAAACAGCCGACAAGGAGATATTTTATCAGTTATATGACGATATTCCTTATCTCTTGGATGTTCCTATTGACTAAAATATGTTTAGAGCATTGGCACAGTTCTGGAACTCGACTTATAGTTGTTTCACATTTGGTAGAGTGGATCTGACACCAACAATAGAGGAGTATCAAGATTTGGTCTGTTGTCCGAGGTCCCAAATAGATAGAGTATATACCAAGCTGCCGGTCACTCCTTCATTTAAGAAGAAATTACTATTGATGACCAGAATGAGTGAAGATTGAGTATTCAGAAACATTAAGAAGAAAGGAGATAGTGAGTGCATCTCTTGGGCTGCTCTAAAAGAAGTAATTGATCATCACCCTGATAAGAGGAAGAAGCTTGACTTGTTTTCTTTAGGGATTTATGGCCTTGTTATTTTTCCAAAAGTGTTAGGATATGTAAACGTATCAGTCGTTGACCTGTTTGAAAGATTAGACAAGCACGTGGATCCTGTTCCAGCCATTCTAGCTGAGATGTTCCGGTCTTTGAGTTCTTGTAGGTGCGAGGGAGAAGGACGCTTTATAGGATGTGTGCCTTTGTTGCTAGTGTGGATTCTGAGTCATTTCAAAAATATTGAAAGGGCACCAGGACGAGTGTTTCTAGATGGGTTTTCACCTTTGAAGGATTTTCTTTCTAAAGAATGGCATGGGGCGAAATAAGTGTTGCGATAGTCAAATTCGTAACGCGAAAGTTAAATTCGATTTGCGATTTCGCGTTGCGAATTTGACTATCGCAACGCTTATTTCGCGTTGCGAATTTAACTTTTGTGTTGATCGCCACATACAACATCAAGGTATATACAACATCGCCTTTGAAGGATTTTCTTTCTAAAGAATGGCATGGGGGCTTCATCGAAGAAAAATGGATGGTCATCTTCAAGGATATCAGAGATGGTGATATTTTGTGGCGAGCTTCGTGGAATGACTCTTCGGATATACTATACAGATGTGGAGAGCGAGATTGGGTTCCTTTGCCAGGTATATAGGGTTTTGTTAAGTACACACCGCTATTAGTTTCCAGACCGTATGGGTCAAGGCAGTTCATTCCAGCCACATGGGACTTGGTAGGGTCGGATTTTGCCTTCAAAGGAGATCAGTATAAGAGTAAAGTTAAAGGGGTTGTTGAAGCCTGAAAGCAAACTCGTCGTGTGAATCTGTTCACCTATGATCTTGAGTTATCTCAAGAGTATGAGCAGTGGAGAAGCGGTCGAGTAAATGAAAACATCTCGATGGCGAATCCTGAAAACATTTAGCCTGTGGAATAACAGTTGAGAATGGTGCCATCTCTATTAGAGTTAGCTAAGCGCGATTTCAAAGCAGAACGGAGACAATGGAGAATGACTTTGCAGAAGCTAGAAGATGAAGTGTATCAAAAGGGATTGGAGATTGACATTCAAAAGAGTAGAGACGATCGAATTGAACAAGTGGAGAAGCAACTTCGGCTAGACTTTGACGATCTTCAGTCAACTTAT